GGAGGCTGAAAATCTTGCACACCCCTGAAACCGTCATGTGAGTGTCTTGAGCTCCTAGCCAACAGGTCGATCCATTGGATGTCCTGGGCCTCATCTTCTCGGGCCTGCCTTCTCAAGCGCTTTGCGCTGGTGAACTTCTCATCATAACAAAGGTTCCAAATCTGATTTCCGATCAGGAACTTCTTCAGCCGATCTTGTGCCGACATTTTTGTCAGCCCGTCAGCTAGCTGGGCATCACTATTGCACCATCGGAGCTCAGTGCCCTGCTTCTCCAAGTTCTGCACCAGAGCTAGGATTTCCAGCGCAGAGTACTTGTCCTTCATGGAAAAGGCGCTCGTCTGCAGGGAACCATTTTTCGCAGCATCAAACAATGCCTTGGCGTCAATCACCAGGGCTCCTCTGGTAAGCTTTGCTGCCTCCTCTGGTTTGGTGATGTCCACTTCTCTACCCAGCATTTCCTGCCATTGCACGCGCAGGAACATCAGTTCTTGCTCTGCGTCTGCCAATGCCTGCGTTTCCGCGGCAAGTGATGATCGGCAGACTCTCCTCAGCTTGTTGGAGGACCAGCTCATGACATTTACTGGTCCTCTCACCCCATCATCCATCATGGAGCAGTGCACAAAGCCGATGATGAAGCCACCTGTGCTTCCGAGGTCAGCACGATTCGCCAATGCAGCGTCGCTCCAAGCCACCAGCACCAAATCATCATCTTTCTCAGCACACAGCTGGTGAACCGTAAGGCCGATCTCTTTCTGGCCGTGCACCTCACGAACAAGGCGGTTGACCTCAGGGATGATGGATCTGTCTGCTTTGCTCAGCAATGACTGCAGGTGTCCCAACTTTGCAGCATGCTGAGGTCCAGTCTGATAGACCCGCCATTGCACAGCGCCCAAAATGGCGCGGCATTGAGTGCGCTCTTGAGCTGTCAGCTCTTTGTGCTTGCCATCCTCCTTGATCTGGGAGAGCTCACTGCAGAAACTGGCTTGGTCCAATCTCCAGCCACCATCAGGAAGCTGTTGCAGTTCAACACCACAATGCGTGAGAGGAGGAACCTCCCACGGAGACCAGCGCATGGAGGCATGAAACTTTTCGATCACTTGGCTCCATCTCTTGTCCTGCTCGTTGCCGACAATGAGAAAGTCGTCAACGTGGCTGCCAATCATGCCAAGGGTACGGAGCTCACCTTGGACCATGGCCCTGAAACGCCACAAACAAGGTTCTGTCACCAATCGCTCCAGCCCAAGCCCCTGCAAAATCTTGTCAACATGCAGGTAAAATTCACGAGGGGCCACTGTCAAGCCATAGGCAGCACGCATGATCTGTACCACCTGACCTTGCTGGAGGTTCATTGCTTCTCGCAACTCTTCCACAGGAACTCCAAAGATGCCACGTGCCTGTTGATTGGAGTCACCCTGTAGGAATGCGGCTTTGGCGTCCGCCTTGAGAAGCTGCCATCCTCGGTGAGTGCTGAGTTGTAGCAACAGTTGCCTGCTTCTTCGGGACATAGTTGGAGACTTCGTGTTGATGAGGCCGACATCAGGGTCAGAGAAACCCAGGATCACAATTCTTGCTTTGGCCTTGACCTGGCCTTTGTCAGCGGCCTTGAACACTAAGACCCATCTCATGCGCATAATGCGAGAGGGATCCACATGGCCAATTGCAGCCTTGCAAACGTGGCTGGTGATCCATTCCTTGATCTCGACCTGCTTGGCCTCTTTCATGGCTTTGCGCTGTGCAGCATTGAGCTTACTCCAAGACACTTCCACCCCCTTGGCCACACGTTTTGCTATGAATTTGCTGGGGTCTTTGACAATGGCCCGCCATTCTGCCTCTGTTGCCGGCTCTGGCAGCATCACGCTGAAGACCAGGTTCTCATCGTCCTCAGCGGTGAGATAGTTCACAGGTGACGAAGGTCCATGGGGAGATCTGCTTCGTGTCTGAGGCGGATCCGATGAGGCAGCAGCTTGACTCCTCAGATATTCTTCTCTCTGGACATGTTGAGGCCTCTCCAGTTGTTCATGTCGTTGACGGGCACGTAGGAAAGGTTCATGCTCAAAGAGTGGACCTTGTACAGGTGGAGGAAATGGGAAGTATTGAGGATCCGTTGCTAGGCGCTCACCATCGATCTCCTCAAGAGGTAGGAGATCTGATTGATCTTCTGCGTCTTCTTCTTCTGGTCTCGGCGGCTCTGAAGGAGAGTATTCATCCATTGGTATCGGAGGTGCTTCTTCATCTTCCGGATGCTCAGCAGCATCTTCTTTTCCTTTCCTCTTTTGACCTCCTCTCGCTCGACTTCGAGAGCGCTGAGTGCGCCGAAGATGTGGTCGCCCTTGACGAAGACTTGGATCTTCTACCAAATCATCATAGGATCCATAGTTCAATGCCTTGGAGATGTCCTGAAACGTCCATGGCATTGCCAGCACATCATGGAACTGCTCATTGGTGAGCCTCTCTCGCTCAGAGCTGTGGCGTAGCTGATCTGTGTGGACTCTTTTCAATCTTCCTTGGCTAATCACCCAAGCAATGCGGTGAGGTTGACGAATGCTCCCGTTGTAGGTGACTTTGGTTTCTAAGCCAAGGATCCTGGCAGGGCCATACCAACGAGCCACTTGGCGTCTCGGCACATCCAAAAGCTGATGTGATCGACCTTCTCGAGGTGCTTGATGTCTCTTGTAGAAGACCAAGTCGCCAGGGTAGAAGTGGCTAGGAGGTGTACTCCTCATGTTGGTCGCCTTGCTCAGTCTTTCCAAGTCCGCCAGCTCCTTGTACTTCTTTTCGGCAGCTTGCCTCAGCTCCTGTTGCTTTTGGAACTTGCTGTCAAAGTTCACAGAAGCCCAGAAAGGAAGATCTGATCCTTGATGAAGACGGTAGGAGTCTGTCATCTCCTTGCCAAACACCCATTGTGATGGGCTGTAACCTCCTTTGCGGTAGAGGTTGTTGTGAGCTGCAATGAGATGCCATGCTGCCGCAACAGGATCATCTTCTTGACCTCGGAGGTGACGATCGAGCATGTACTTCAGGCGGCCAATCATGCTCTCCACTTTCCCGATCTGCCCATGAGCTTCAGCAGGAACGAACATGAGCTCAACGCCATTCTTGTCACCCCATTCTTCTAGGTCGCGGCCTCGATGAGCTCCCTCCTTGTCCATTTTGATTTGGCGTGGATAGCCAAAGTACTGCACCCAAGACTTCATCAGACTCTGCAGCACTTCCTTGGTGGAGGGACTCCAGGATTCCTTCAAGTCATGGGTGCTCAAGTGCGAGGCAACTGCATAACCGCTGCTTTCATCAACAATGAGCTGCCAATGGTAAACCTTGTTGCCGTAGGTGAACTCGGCATTGTCCACTTGGATGGTCTCCCACAACTTTTCAGCAGTTTCCAGTGTCACTGGAGTTTGTTTGGGATTCTGCATTCGAGCTTCTTCACAGTCCATGCAGTGAAGATTGCCAGCGATGGTGAGCATCTTCTTGGTGGCACCACGATCTCGCAGCATGCGAACAAATGCTTGACTGGAAGGATGACCAAGCTTTTGATGGAGCTTCAGCAGGTTGGTAGCCCAGCGCACCAACTCTTCATCAGTGCTCCCACGAAGTGAAGCAGGATCACCTTCAGGATGTAGTGCCATCACCTGGTTCTCGTCAATCTCATCAAGGTACCAGGCAGTTTGTGCTTCTGGTCGCCAGCGAGTTGCTTCTTCGTAGATCATGCGAACCAGGTGCCAAACTCTCTTGGCCATTGCTTTTGGGTAGAAAGCTGACATTCTTGTTCTCTGACCACCTTCGCAGGGAACATGCTTGTGGTTGCCAGGGCATCGTTTTGCCATGTTCCAGATCAAAGGTGTAGTGCCACGTAGCAACCAGGGCTTCTTAAGGTAGCCATCATCCACCTTCAAACCATAGCTGCATCCATCTACTCGGGCTTCATGAAGTTGGCCATCTACTTCTCGGCGCCTCCAGAAATGGCGGATTGAAGCAAAATGCCACGCTCGATTTCCAAGAGGCCATTCCTGCACCACATCACCACCAGCTTCAATCTGGGTCTCCATGATGCGGATGCCATTGGTCACCAACTTCTTTGACCTTTGAACTTTCTTTTGGATCTTCTTGCGGCCTTCTTCAGTCAGCATGTTCAGCTCCTGGATGGAAGACGTTGGGCCACAGGGAAATGATACCCATAGAAGATCAGGATGCACATCTTCTATCAAGTGGATCACCTTTTGCACTCCCTGCTCGGTGAGGATGTCAAAGCCGTTGTGTAGTCCACAGCGATAGGCCTGTCCTCCATTGGCGATGACTGTCTGTGAGATGATGCTGTCTTCCTCACAACACAATTCAATCAAGGTCGGTGCTGACCGTTCGGGATGTAGTCCAATGGCAGCCATCAAATCTTTCACCTCAAACTCGTAGGTGTCGTGCAAATCCTCAATGACCTCATAGTCTTCAGCGGTGTAGTGGACACGATCTGGGTCATTGAAGGTCTCGTGGTTCTCCGAGCCACTTGAGGTGTCGTTGTCATCAGGCATTCCTTTCTCACAAGCCTCATAGCCATTGGCGTTCTCAAAATTCTGAATTCTTGGTGAAATCCTCTCAGCAGCCAATGCAGCCGCTGAGGTAGAAGGTGAAAACTCGGCCTTCGTCCTCTGCCGCTTCATGAACGGTCCGGGCTCTCCACTTCTGCCCAAGATTGGGCATCCTCTTCTTGTAGGGCCGAGGTCTCGTGTTGCTCGGCCGATTCCTCGGGTTTCCGAGTCTTCCGTGTCGTAGAGCTCAAGGTCGAAGTGGATGCCTTCTTTGGAGTAGCCGGATTTGCCTTGACTGGCGACGGTGCCTTTCGATCTTGAGTCTCCTGCCATTGTTTCTTCTTCTGCTGCACCTCGTCGAGCTTCTGGAGCAGGGATTCTTCGGCTCCGTCCAGAGCAATCTTCTTGTCCTTGAGGTGGATGCTGTTCTTCTGCTCGTTGGGAGGAACCTTCTCCAGTTGTCGCTCGACATCTTTGGCCAGGGGACCTGCGGCTCTCGTCAAGCCGTGGGCACCATAGGCTGGTGTATAGCTCAGCCGTAGGTGGCACACCTCGCAACCTTCCCAGGTCGCATGTTTGTTGGATCCGGTCACCGATCCCGGACCGGGAGCTGCCACCACGCGGTGTCCCCAGCAAGGTGCTCCTTCCGCTCGGGGATCTTGAGCGTTCATCGGCTGCGTGCGAGAATAGTCGAACCTCTCGCTTGCTGGAGCCGGAGTCTTCTTCTTTGACTTCGCTTCGGCCTTCGGGTAGCCGCTGGTGGTGGCGCGCGACATGATGCTCCGCCCACGACCGTGCCGAAGCTAGCGCTTGAAGGATGATGTCCCTCATCTCTTGAGTTGAAGATGCCATAGGGTGAAGTCCATGATCATCAGACATCAAGACAGCTGACTCATGATGACATTCACAATCATGTTCTTCATGACTCACAACTGCACTGCTTGTCAAGACAAAAGGGAGTGAGGGCTCTGAAGACGAAAAAGAAGGGAGAGGTTGCTGTTCACGACATGCTTGCTCAAAAACTTCATTGCTCATGACCTCAACTGCAAACGGCATGTGGTTGGTGTGCACTCTCAAACCTTGACCTTCACCTTCTTCAACACATGACACGTCTTCAGCAGGCAGCACCATATATGCACTCTCAGCTGGTTGTGGTTCGTCAGAGGGATGTAAGGGTCGGCCTTGTGCCATCCAATCCCTTGTCAAGTCGATCACAAGGTG